AAAGGCAGAAGCCTCAGCCAAGAAGACATCATTGAGCATCCTTTCAACATCCAATGCCCTCTTTGCCTTGAATCCTTCCAGCCTGGGAAGGATGTGTGTTCTGATCATGGCAACCATTTGATGCCTCTGTTGAGCATCCCTCCGACACGAATCCAGAAAGGGAGACCACAGCATCTCGATGCCAGTGTTGGAAGCCATCTGGGATGACTCTTGAGCCAATCTCAAGCAAAGGGTGGCATGCTCGTCTTCAATCTTGACCCTCTTCATGAAGAAGCCGATGAACTGTGCCAGCGCAGTGTCTCCCACAGCCAACCTTTGGCCCACAACCTCCCTCAGCCGATCTTCCTCCTTCATCTGATGTGGTGGTTGTGAATGGTCTGAATGATAGCGAGGTTGGTATGGTTCGTCTTCAGATCTTCCTTTTCATGCAGCCTTCTCTGGGTGGCTTTTTGGATGAAAAAAGGGGTGGGTGGTGGCGAGTCAGATAGGGAGGTTTGAAGAAAGGATGTACGTTATCAATTTTTTAAAGAAATAGGAGTTCAATGGGGTGGGTGATCGTTGCTGTCGATAGATGAGGAACGAAGACTGAGGATTTCTGTTACTTAACACAAGAGTTGGCAACCGAAGCAAAAAAAAAAAGGAATTATGTCATAAACACCAAGGAGAAAAAAAAGAATTCACTAAGGTATTTTGCTTCAGGAAACCCGCGCAGCGCTACCTCAAGCGCTGACGCCCCAGTCTCAGTCATCTGAGACCTTGTGGACGTATGAAGGAGGAACCCATGGTGGAGCACGAATTCGGCATCCGGTATCAAACAACAAGCGGACCAGCCGCTTGCTGATGAAGGTATGGAGTTCCTCCACAAAGAAATAAAGAAAGAAGAAAAGAAACAAGGAGAACATCAGAGAAAGAAGACGAAGAAAAGACATGAAGAGAAAATAATAACATGTGTGGAGATATGAAGAAGGAAGAAAAGAGCAGAAACCGAATGGAGGACGCATTTGCAAGAGACCACGAGAGAGGCAGTTGAAGGTAGGCACGTTGAATGAATAGGGGAATTTATCATTAGTATTCAAAATAAAGAAACACAGGCAAAGAGGAAAGAGCAGCGTACATACTGTTTGTTTGTTTGTCCCCCCCCAAGAAAAAAGAAAAGAAAAAAAAAGGGGGGTTTGCGCGTGCAAGACCACGGTGACAACCAGATATTAGCACCAAAAAAGAAATGCAATACTTACAAAAACAACAAATAACGACATCAAAAGAAAACGGAAAGATTCATACAGAGAAACTGCAACATCGCACATCATCATACTAAGGCAAGCATTAGATACATTTGATGCAAACGCGATGCTGACCAGTAAGAGGATGTGGACCACATGCTGGGGCCCCCGACCATGTACTTGCATCGCGAGGTGGTTCCCCATCACCTCCTGTAAAAAACCCAGTGGGAAAAAGAATGGGACTTGCAGCTGAATGCGATGGGACGGTGGCAAGTTGGTTCATATTAAGAGGTTAATGATTGTGGTAGATCAAATGGTGGGATGGAAAAGGTTGATGTGTAAATGTGCGAGGTGGTGTGCACGTGGAACCATGATGATGTTGTGCGTGATCATGATATATGTATGGGCGATGGTTGGATAGTGAATGTGGATGGGTGATGGATGGAAGGATGGTGAATGGATGGATGATGGTGGCGCATGGGTGTGGCGAATGATGGCGAATGGTGGGGGATAAAAATGAAGCGGCTGAAGCAGTTCCTTCTCGACGGTCTTGCACTTGCACCAAAGTTGAAGGGAATACCGATGGATGATGACGGCAGGAGAGAGATGATGGAGGGAGGGAGAGAGGTGGAGGATTACCTTGCTGGTTTCGCTTGCCAGTGACGCCACGGAGGAAATACTTAAATGCACCCGCCCACACCAATGGCCATTGGCACTTTCCCCATCGATTCCTTTCATCCCCTGGTCCCGATTCTCCTGTTTCTTTTACCATTAACTTCACCTTCTCTCTTTCAATCGACCGTTGCAACTACCCTCCCTTCAACTTCCTTTTTGTAATTAATAAACATATTGTTCTTCCAGTTCTTCTTCTTGTTTAAAATAACATTGTAAAAAAGAAGGAGACAGAAGAAGAGACTCGTTCCGAGTCGTTGGTGACGCCTTCATGGGTTTGTGGAGAGCTCAATGTTCATATGAAAAGGGGCTAGCTGCAAGAAGCTGAAGCTTATCAAAATATGATTATGGTAGGGGTGGTATGGAAGCGGAGGGATCAGAAACAAAGAAGAAGGAAAGGTATTAATACAACGAAGAAAGAGACCTTTATTCTTATTTTATACTCGTCTCCTGATATCCATTCCTTAAAGGCTCCTTTTTTTTCTTGTCTTGGACCTTCCACATTCCCCCCTTCCTCTTTGCCTTCAAATGTTTGAATGGAAGCTCGCCACCTTTGCAATCAATGAGTGTCAGATCACCCAAAATTGGTGTTTCATCAAAAATCCTTCCTTTCCTTTCCTGGTTCCCAACTCTCATGGGCGCAAAACCAACAATTGAAAATTTTCAAACTCTCCCCCGTCAGACTCTCAGCAGAGCTCAGCCCTCACGATTTTTTTTTTCTCTCCTCTCCCACTCCCTCTCCTTTTCCTCAAGTAAGTTCCAAGTATTGAAATAACTTAATTAATGAATTATCAATTATGGCATACAATACCACTACGACGATTCCCTTATTGACTATCATATTATGTTGTTTATCGAGAAAATAATGCAATAATAGTAATATTGTATTCGATTCAAGAATAAAAAGGGAAAAGGTAATTTTCCCCTTCTTTTCCGCTTCTTTTCTCCTCTTCATCAGTCTTCTTTTCAACCTTCAATTTTCAGTTCTTTTTTTGACACTCTGAACACACTATCAACACCAATAGATGTCCAACGAAGTGGACATATTCTATCGGCTTGCAAAGGAGAAGGGATACAGAGCAAGGAGCGCATTCAAACTGCTGCATCTGGGTACGGTTATATCATGGCATTCCACATCATTTGTCCCCCCTTCCTTTCTCGCTCACTTGCATTCAACAGATGAGGAGTTCAAGATCTTTTCAAATGTCTCAAGATGTGTTGATCTGTGTGCAGCACCAGGTAGCTGGTCTCAGGTGCTGTCTCAGAATCTCCAACCGACCGAATCTGGCCCTCCCGTCATCATTGCCGTTGATCTTCAGCAGATGGTACTGGTTTTTTGTTTGTATACTCTGCAGCATGCGTTCTTGCTAACAATACCATCCATCCATCCATCGATCCTATCGTGCATCCATCCACCTATCTCTCTTTCCTTAACTCCTTCTATGCGCTTACCTCAACAAATGCATCCATTCATCCTTTCATTCATCGTCGTACGGATTCATCTATCTCAACAATCAACAATCACCTCATGCCAAAACCCATTGCAACTTCACATCTCGATCTTTGACCACTGCAACAGACTCCAATTCATGGAGTCGTTCAGGTACAGGGCGACATTACAAAAAAATCAACAGCCGATTCCATCATACACCTCATGAACAACCAAATGGCCGACCTCGTTGTAAGCGACGGTGCTCCAGACGTCACCGGTTTACACGCCATTGACGAATACCTTCACTCTCAACTCCTACTTGCCGTAAGCGACACATTTCCCTTGCTTACTTTTGCTTTTTTTCCCATCCAATTGAATCCTTAACCGTCGAACCCAAATACGATCGAAAAGGCGTTCAACATCACAACACACGTTCTTCGAAAAGGGGGTAACTTTTGCGCCAAAATGTTCAAGACCAGGGAGGCTCTCCTCTTGACCACCCAGATGCAGGTTTTTTTCAAATCCGTTCAAATCGTCAAACCTCGGAGTTCAAGGCCCAACTCGGCTGAAGCATTCCTGGTGTGTCTGGATTACGATCCTCCGCAAGGATTCCTGCCGTTCATGTACGAGGCCAACGCCGAGATGCCCACTGCTGGTTCGGTCCCTGGGGTTGTACCGTTTTTGGTTAGCGGGGATCTGTCAGGGATTGAGGAGGGAGGAGGGGAGGAAAGCAAACTGCCAGCATCCTGTCAACGGTTTTTTGAATCTATAAACAAAACGTAATATTAATTCATATATTTTTCTTTACAATTAGCAGAGGCGTTTAGGAAGAAAACCCTGCGTAATGACCCTCTCCTTCCGTTGGGGGTGGAAGATTGCTCTCACCATCATGAGCTGCTTGACCTCTCGCTTGAGCTTGGGTAGGAGGTGAGGATGTTGGCGGTTGCCCAGACGATGGAGGCTGTGCGGATAAGGCTGTCTGGATATAGGACGACGCAGATCGTGGTCGATAAGTGGCGAATGGAAGGAGATCACTCTGGTGTTGGGACTGAGATTGAGAGAGTAGTCGACGGGGTCGATCCAAACTTCTTGAGCTTGTTGTTGATGGCTGTACGGAGCCGACAATTTGCGGAGCCTCGGCCAATGTTGGCGCCGGATTAGCCTCCCAGTCTGCCGTAACCTTGTTCTGGGACTTGCTGTTCAAGTGAACACAGCGAGAGCATTGCAGGCTAGAAAAGGGCTCACAACCACCTGGAGGAAGGCGGATCACGGAATGGTGCATCTTGCTGACTTTTTTCTGGATTCGCGATGGAATGGTGTTGACGTCGCGAGCAATGGCATCAGCTCCTTTCGTAGGGACTGGGGCTTGGCGGCATCATGCTCTTTCCATCCAGCCAATCCAGCCGTGGCATTCAATCTGATGATGAGCTCGATAGTCTCTTTGACGAGACCTTGGAAAGGTAACGGCAATTTCATTGCTGTTTCAATCTTCTCTGGTTCCAGCTCCACGTGGTCCAGGGAGTTGGTTGAATGGGAGGGGTTTGAGATGAAGGGGTTGGCTGGGTTTGAGTGGTTTGACCAACATTAATTATGTGGGTCAAAAAAAAAAAAAAAACAATTTGGTTCCGGAAATTTTTTTCAACATATCGGTAAAGCTCCTTCTTGCTTTAACGAGAGACAACGTGGCCGAGCGGTTAAGGCGTTTGACTAGAAATCAAATTCTTTCGGGAGCGCAGGTTCAAGTCCTGCCGTTGTCGTGCCATGGCCCAATGGTCTAGTAGTATGATTCACCCTTAGGGTGGGTGAGGTCCCGGGTTCAATTCCCGGTTGGGCCCTGAAAAATCTTATTTTTTGTTATTTAATAAAGCTGAAATCGGCAAAAAAAGTTGCTCCGCACAGGGATCGAACCTGTGACTTTGGCGTTATTAGCACCACGCTCTAACCAACTGAGCTAGCGGAGCAATTGGTATGGTTGCGTCCGGGATCGAACCGGAGACCGCCTGTGTGTTAGACAGGTGTGATAACCAACTACACCACGCGACCAAACGCTCCCAGTCCGGGAATTGAACCCGGGTCTCTCCCGTGACAGGGGAGGATACTAGCCACTATACTAACTGGGATTTTCAGATGTTGATGCAAGGGAATAAGCCTCTATTACAAGCATAGTTGGACGTAGAATATTTCTATCTTGCTGTCTGTAGTGCCTTTCATCATTACCTTTATTTCGGTGCCTTCGCTATCATATTTCGTTCTAGCTCAAGCTATTATCACTGTGCCTTACTTCTATCTGTGTTCTCACTCTTATGAGTCTTATCTGTGTTTCTCTTCTCTTCTGTGCTTCTCTCTGTGTCGCGTCGCCTATATAAGGCTCTTCTCAGAGATCCACTTACTTACGTTCACATTATCTTATCTCATCTGATTACCGATCATCGAATACATATTATTTCCAGCATCTCTCGCTATTCTTCTTATCTTTCTATCAAGCATATATGTCGTCTTAAGCTCTTCCTTTTTATTCGCGCCGCACTCATGGACACCTATTCCCTGTTACAGCCGAACGGTCCGTTACAGGTGTGTATCAATGAAGGCCATTGCGGACATCATCAAAACCTAAATTGAACACTTTTTAAACAGAGAGACTTTAATAGGCGAGGGCGGAAAGGATTTGGACAAATGTGGATAGAGAAGGCTCAGAAAAATTGGGAGAGGAGAAAAAGGGAGTTCTTCTATTTTTTTTTTCTCTTTTTTTCTATTCTATGTATTTTCTTTCTCATTTATATCTGATTTATATCTTTTGCCTTCACGCTTGATCTCCTTTCTTCTTTCTTATTTTCTTACCCTTGGGAATTTTTTGCAGTATGCTCCAGTTCTGAAGGGCCAACAAGCTTCCAAGAAAGGTTTTCTTCACCTTTTTCGCAGCTCTTTTTTGGTTGCTTTTTCTTGCTCCTCTGTTATTGCGGGTTTGATGGGTTTTTCTTTTTGCTTTGACAGATAACGGCGACATTACTGATATTATTGTTTCCTCTCTCTTTAATTTATCCTTTTTCCTGCCGGCCCTATTTTTACGTTTTCTCTTAACTCTAACCACGGAAAGGAAATGAAAAGGAAAGAGTTGGTAGGGACCGCAAAAAGATGGTTTATTCCAGAACATGTTCGTTTGTAAATACATGAGCAGCAGGCGGCAATGTAGAATGGGTATGATGTGCAGCAAGCGGGTTGAGAAAGAGAATGTAGCAAAGATCAACGATTGAGAGCGCAACGCCTGCACCGAGTTTCTTGGCAAGTGGTGCAGAAATAATAAAAGACAGGCTTTCATCCACATTCTGCGCGTTGATCATGAACGCTGCCTCGGAACGTCACATTATTGGAACTGAAATTATGCATATGCTCACCGTGTCTGTTTTCATACAACATCCTCTCTGCGAGCCTGCGCTGCCTGACATCTTTGTTTCTTTCAGCTTCCCTCATGATCCGTTCGAGCTCCAAAGTGGGGTAAAGCTCAGACGTGCAGGTTCTCCAACTTTCAGGCAGGTGTTGCAGAATTCGTGACGACAGATGTTGCACGTCATATGGACGCAGCCCGTGAACCTCTCGAATGCGATGCCGCAGCCCTGGCAGAATTTCCAACCTTCCCTTTCCATCAGGGCTTTTATGGTTTCGTCGAAGAACGGATTCCAGAGGTTGGGATGAATCGGATCGTTGCTTGGCTTCTTCCATCTCTTCAATGTACCCGTTATATTTTGCGAGCTTTCTGGGTGGCATGAAAGCATCCACGAACTTTTTGTCGAATGGTTTCTTGCAGCATGGAACAGGGACCTGACCTCTTCAATAGAGGATTGTGTAACGAAATCGCTCACCTTTTTTCAATGGCTGCAAGTTGGCAAACTCTTCCCCTCGGATTGGTGAGGCACAATTGGCATTGCAGAATGGATGTTGACTCCTATCAAGCTCTCTGCTGTTAGGGCTCATGGATTGAAGAGGACGTTTAAGCAGCTGCTGACATTGTAAGAATCCAGATGGCAGTTTAAGACAGAGCAATTGACACTGATCAAAAACATCTTGTCTCTTTACAGAGACCAACCCAAGGTCGGCGCTCTTGTTGGTGTGGATGTTCACGGAAACGAATATTATGAAAATCGCAATGATATCGTTGGTAAGGATGGCTGTTTGCTCTCAAAGCCCTTTCAGCAGTATCGTGGCGGTTTGGACTGAATGATTCGAAACCTTCCAGGGCGAGATCGTTGGGTTCTTTTCAGCAAATGGAACTATGATTCGACGCAAGTGCCTCCGGAATGGTGAGATGCTGATTATTTCATGCTTTGTTTAACATGCTTACGATTCTATTCTGCACAGGCATCAATGGCTCCACAAGACGACCGACGATATCCCTTCAGACAAAACCGTTCCCGTCCCATTCTACACTCCTCCTCATCAGGAATTCTACACGGGCACGAGGGCAGCTTTCAAGACCTACTCGACTGTAAAGCCAAAAATCGAAGAGTGGAATGGGAAACCAATCAACAGATCATGAAAACCCCAATAAAATGAACATGCATCTACCGTGATAATTCCAAAACCCATCTCATGAATTGTAGTATCGAAAACCATGCGAAAGAAGGGTTTCTCTTCAGTTTTTTGGCGACTAAAATCACAGGGACGAAAAGTATTACTTAAAACATCAATAACGTCAGTCAACTTTATAAAGCTCCTCTAATGTCTCCACCGCCTCTTTATCCAATACAAAAACCTCATTCTGCATGATCGGCCTCACTAGCAAATTTTGAACAGAGCCTACAAGCAGCCCTCTTTCCTTTGGAGAGAATCTCGTGTCGTTGCGCAAAAGATTTGATGTCTTGATCAGTCCGACCTCGGGTTCGTTGTTCCCATACACGCAAAAGGTTCGTCTTCCCCATATCCCCAGTTCTGACAGCATTTCCTTCAATTCGTCAACTGATGGTGAATCCATATGCAGCCTGTCAACAATCACCAGCTGGTTCTGCAGAATGTGTGATGAGCTCCGTGAAAGAAAAAGAAAAAGCTTTACCTGTACAAACTTGGCAGATATTGCTGATCTAAAGGCCGCGGAATATACCTTTTGCTGGATATCAGTCGTCTTTAAATGTGGCCGAGGGCCATGGACAGCGTAACCTTCAATAGAATTAGCATACAACATGGTTGGACGACCTTAACCAACCTCCAACAAACTGAGGAGATCGTAATGTTCCATGCCTAGCTTTACCCCGTCCCTTCTGAGGGTATGGCTTCCGAGTAGATCCTCTCACTTGACCCAAAGCTTTAGATGACTCGGTTCCTGCCTCCATCCAAGACTCTTCATAACGGAGAGCTCTGTAGATAATGTCCTGCCGAATTGGTGTTGCAAACACAGAGCGATCAAGTTCTATCAACCCCAGCGGTTTGGCTGTCGCAAACCCTTTGATCCATGCATGCACACATTCTGATTTCCTGGCTAAGCCTAGATTCCAACCAGTTACTGATGGTGTACATTGGACTCCTTACCTTGCATGCTCGTTTTTCTCTTTTTTTTTTCTGTTGTTAATAATTTTTATCTTTTGTTTTCCAAATGGGTGGAAAACGCCGAAAAGATGACGAAGATGACGACGAAAACCCCCCAGCACCTAGGAGGCGGGCCGACGAAGGAGGAGAGAAAAGAAGGAATCGAGAAGAAGGGTTGAGCGAAGATTTCAAGGCATCTCGAAAGGTGGATGCTGGCGAGGGTGCAGAGGATGGAGAAGATGACAAACCTAAAGAACAACCCAACTACGGTTCGCCATCAAGCTTTAAGAACAATTCTCTTACAAAGTTCAGGTCTCTCTGGAGCATTGGCTGCCGAAGGAAATACTTTTAAAGGTGTCTTGCTCAAGTATAGGTTCGAATTTTCTTCCGCAGTCCACAGGCATTTATATACATTAGCGAACCTCCGGAAGCCCGAAAACCCACAAAGCACTTTCGCCTGTATGTATTCAAAGGAAAGGATCAAATAGGTGGGGATTTTTATCGTTTTCTCAAATGTAATGTTTGCAAAAGATATGCTGCAAATTCATCGCCAAAGTGCCTACTTGTTGGGCCGAGATCGGATCGTTGCTGATATCCCCATTGACCACCCATCATGCTCCAAGCAGCACGCAGTGCTGCAATATCGTCATGTCACGAATGATGATGGGGTCAAGGTGATAAAGTAAGAGTTTTTCGAAAACGGGATGGTTTAATATTTACAACATCATTTTCTGTCAAGGCCATACATCATAGATCTAGAGTCATCAAACGGCACATTTATCAACACGGAAAAAATCCAGCCAACTAGATATTATGAACTGAAAATTGGGGACACGTTAAAGTTTGGCATGAGCAGCCGGGATTACGTAATGATGGCAGAGGAAGTGATCTCGTCAAAAAAGTCGGGCTAAGAGGAATATAACGGCCGATATTCCTCCACCAGTCTGTTTTTTTTAGGTATCCTTTATCTTTTCCTTAGAATACCTTTGAATCTGTTCCGCTGTCACTTTGTAGTTTTCCGCCGTTTTAACGCGTTCCAATTCGCTTTCAATTTTAGCCAACTGAGTAGCACTGTCATGATCCATCACCAAGCCAGTGGAATCGAATTCGATTCTACTCGATAGAATAGTTTCCGCGTCTTGAAGCCAATTTTAGTGACCTTCAAACATTTCAAGAAGCGGTATCCGTACCTCTTGAGGTCACTGAAGCATTCGAATTTGGTCGATATAAAGGCTGATTTAGG